CCCCGCGCAGGTCCCCGCCGACCGCCTCTTTCTCTACTGAAAACCGTCACCGACAACCAGCAAGAGGTGGGTGCACCTCTTGCTGAGCTCCGCAAGATTTCAGCATCTGTCTCTCATTTGCAAGATTTCCCTTCTCCCTCCATTTTAGGCGCGAGAAGTTTTAAGGCCAGGCTGCCCGAGCCAGGCTTATGCTGCACCTAGACATCCTCTAAGGTCTGCGTGAGCAGCCGCAAAGCCCAGGGAGACACTGGCAGCAGTAGCAAAGCTCGTGTCAAAGGTTTGCCAGGTCACAAAATAAACTAGGACTGGCCTATTTGGCAGATAGAAGCTCATTTCATCACATGACTCCTAACCGTGAACGTACGGGGCGAAGCATCCAACAACACAGCCCCTCAGCAAGTCAGCAACCGCGCTGGCTTGCAGCCGAACGCAAGAGTCCACAAACGTACTCCCTCCTGAGCACGCTGCATCCGCAGGATGGGTGCCCTGGCCTGGAGGTCTCACTGCTGCCACACCACGTTCGTGACTCTGCTGCTGAAACATTGCCTCCTCCGCCACCTCTTGCCCAAACCGCATCATCAAAACCGAAACACCGGACAAAAATAATGAGCTGCAACAGCACAGGGAGACGCATTGCGCTTGGCGTTCGGTTTCACACTTAACCGAAAGCTCCCTTTAATTTCCGTCAGGTTTGCCGAGGAGCGGAGACGTCCTTAGCCATAGCAACTCTTCCTCCAAAGGAATCGGCCGCTTGCTGGCAGACGCTGCCTCCGTTTTGCAGTAGCGGCATCTCGTACTGAGGTTGCGACATGCTGTCAGAGGAGCCGGGTGGGCGAGCTGGTGCTTCCTAGTTATTCGTCCAGACACAAGCAAACTCCACGCCTTTAGCTGCCAAGGTCTTTCTTTTTGTATTTGATTTTCTATTGTATGTTTTTGAAGTTGACAAGACTCAGCCCCAAGAAGTTAAAGGAGTTGAGCTTGTCACTGCGCAGCATGGCCTTTCCGTGCGACCGAAACCAGGGCCTCACGCTCCTGCAGGCTAGGGAGTGACCCGGAGGTTCAGCCAGGGCACAAGAGGAGTTGAACAAGAACATACATCAGATGCAAGAGAGTTTTTCTCCATCCCAAACGCATACAGCTTCTAAAGGCAGCTGCTACGCTACTTAAAAACTGGGGACAAACCCAGCTTTGATGTCCTTCTCGATGTTCCAGAACGAGAAGAGGAATGTCAGTAATTAAGCAAGACTCAGTAATTTGCAACAGCCCGCCCAGTGAGTGATTCCCCCCTGATGCAAAGGTCTCACTGATCCGAGCTGTCCGAATGCCGCCTCTGTCTCATCCTTCCTGATCTCCTCCTACGACCTCTGCGCAGTCAGTGCCAGAACTACAAACAGCAAAAGAGTAAGAATCAAGCAAATCAGTTTCTTAAAACTTATTTTAATATCCATGTCTCATCTGTTGGGTAGAGCCAAAACAGTCTGGCCTGGTTTAAGTTACAAATTCTTCATACACTTTTCTTTTAAGTAAATGAACAGTGTGGCAATAGGGTCTGTTACTGGAAGTGAAACCCATATTAACGAGGAAGGTGTCGCAGCCTGAATTCTACCAGGATTCTCCACTATCAGCACCGGAAAAGGCTAACGCTGTCCGCAGGCCCCTGAATGGGTGTCACACAGCTGGAATAAATGCATCTGACACAAAACTAATCACACCCACAGAGATAGCACACACTTTATGTCCAAGAAACGACCGGACCGGGATACCAAAAAAAAAAAAAAAACAAACAAAACTTTTAGAATTGTCCCCTATGCAGATAGACACCAAATAATCAGTTTCAGCAAACAGGATGAAGCATCAACCCTGATTTTGCCTGACAGAGGCTGAATAGACATGTTGAAGCACTGCTTGCTAAACAGTTAACTTCTGGAATAGACCAGCAGGGATGGAAAGGGCTAAGAAATTACAGCTGACGATTTAAAGATGCAGTATTTCTTTTCTTTGTTTAAAACACTACGGTTTAAAGACCACCTTAATGCAGCTGCAAGTGAATACATCTAATTAAAAGCCCAAGAGTCACTACAAAAATAGTAATAAAAATCAAAGCAGCAGAGTTCTGCACTTCCCAGGTCCATAGTTCAATTTCACTAGATTCCTCAATTCTTCAGTTAACCACAGGTTCCTGAGCAGGTTAAGCATAACGCTCGCAGGCAATGGCTTACGATAAGGCAGACGCGTGGTAGTTCTCTCAAAGCGCGTAACGGAGAACACTGCTTGCCACAAGAACGCCATTCAGGTACCAAACGCCCCCCAAAACCCCCACACTGTGACTGCAGGTACAGTCCCGGAGGTGCTGCAGAGAGAACAGTCCACAACAGGTCTGGGTGTGGGATTAAGAAGCACGCACAGTGTAATTTGTTCTTAAATAATGCTCTGAATTGCAATAGTGCACTGCTCAGCTCCCTCCAAGCCAAACCTCGCTCTTGAACACTGCATCTTTAAATATTTCTGGCTAAGAACTCCTGCCACATGTTAGGAACTCTCCAACCTGGCTGCCACATGTTCAAGTGCTGTGCTTTTTGTATGTGTTTTCAGTCTTCCTTCAGTGTAGGGGGGAAAAGGGGGCACAGTAGGGACAGGAGGCTTGTGTTTCACAGCAGGCAGACTCCCGCTGGAGGTGCAAGGCCCCCTCAAGCAGATTACAGAAGGGAGATGAAAAGAATTAGGGCGTCTGTTCCCTTCTAGAACACATCTCCTTCCCCCTCACTTGTGATCTGATGCAGTGATGTCAGCAAGTTAGGAAAGTCAGCAACTTTTAAGAGGAAAGTGTTAAGGGACAGAGGAAGCTTCCTTGCCAAGTCACCTAACTGAGAAGAGCAGACGAGTCTTCAGCTTCAGATTTTTATAACGTTAACAAGATATGTACAGTACTGCATGAGCACAGATTGCACGTGTGATCAGCTGAGCTGCGCTGATTCCTTCCCGTTTGCTGCCTGCCTTTTCAATAGTCAACAGAGGTCAATGCTCACAAGAGCACAGAGCACTTCATGAACGTGTCAGGGTGTGTTTTCAAAAAAAAAGAAAAAAAAGAAAAAACAGCACTTCAAATAAATTAAAAAGGTGCAACCGTTGAGAGCGCTATGAAGCGGCAGCTGAAAACCTCTTGGCAATCTGAGCTGTGCTCCAGTCCGATCACAAGAGATCTACGCAGGCCTGTTCTCCTATCGGCTTCATCTCCCTCCTTAGAAGGAGGATTATTCGTAAGAGGCCACCCCAAGGGAGCAGAAAGCTGCACCATCCGTACAATGGACACTGCCATGTACCTGCTAATAAGGGTTTCACTTTGAGACCAGAAAAACTGTTTTCTTCCAAAAAATTGTTATTTTAAAAAACTGAAATTAATTAGGGGTAAAACACTAACTCTAGTGCCATGAACAGGCAGGATCAACTTTTTTCCCCTCCAAAGGGCAAAGAGTCATATACCATCCCCAGCTGAACCTTGGTGCTTCGAGCTTTTCAGGAGATGTTACCTAAACTTTATTAAAAGAAAGAGAACAATGTTTAAATATCAACACTGGACTAGCCCAGTCTTTTTCCAAAGTCCACATTCTTCATATGAAGCACACACCGCGTCCTGGATTCCCCAAGGCTGCATGTTCAGAAGTTCACAGTACATGGAACCATGTCTTTTTGTATTTTCTTGAGTTTCCCCTCCTTGCTCAGAGCAGCCACCCTTTGTGGTCATTTACTGGATAAACCTCAAGCCAATTCCTATCCACATGGCTTGGCCTAAGATGCCGAAGGTTTTCTTGATGAGAGTTGATGTTGTCATGCTCTATGGATGGAAAAAAGCAAGAGAAAAAAAGCACCTGGTACAGGTTTCTTGAGACCCTTGCGGATTCTTCTATTCCGAAGCTGTTTCTGAAAGTCTTTTTCTTTTTTCCGGTTTCTCGAGCAGTTTTTGGCCTATTACTCTGTCTCAGTTTGAAGAGCTGTTATTGGATGATCCAGAGGTTGATGCAATTGCAGCTCCAGCTGGGCTGCTTGTGGATACAGATTTGCGGATGTGAGGCAGCAAGTATGGGTCACAGGCCAGCTGCTGGACATCTATCCGATCCTCCTTTCGGTAGGCCAAACAACGTCTGATAAATGCCTGCAGATACCCCAAAGGCAAAACAAGAATTAGGACACTGACAGAAACAGGAAGTTTTCTTTGATAGATAATTCTTTGGGAGCTGAGCCAATCTGACAACCCCAGTGCTGAAATTCCTTCCCAAGGGACTGCACAGCTAGCCCAGCTCTTATGCCAGAAGCTCATCTTTTATCAGGAGAAAGCACGGGTAGAGACACATGCCATACTCCATTCAGTCCTCCATCTGACAACTACAGCGCAGCAAAGCCACAGACTGCTCTGCAGGAGGTACATACTGAACACAAAATTCCTTGCTAGGTTGAGGGAAACTAAGAGGAAGGAACTGTCAGCGCGGATTGCCAACTGACATACGGAACGTGATCAAACTTGCTGCAAAAAGATTTACCTTTGCTTCTGGCGTGACTACTGGCTTGGGAGGGAACTGCACCTCGGTAGCTTTCAGGATTGTGTTCTCCTGCAGAATATCTTGTTGTGACTGGTTGTGGCCAAAGGGCTACCAAAAAAATAAAAGACAGTTGTTAAAGCCTGTTGTCAACAGGCTTAAGAAGCCCGTAACACTACTGTTTATCATCACTTGACATCACCATTTTTCCAGGCAAGAAGCCCACGGCATGCAGTGAAAGTGCTGCGGATTCCAACTGGATTAGCAGGACGCACTGCTCCTGTACTTAAACTGAACAAAAAGGACCAAGCTGGAACGCGTCAAGGGTGATTCCTGCTCAGGAGGGAACTCCGCCTGCTCCCAGACCTACTAGGTGAGCAAGAGGGTCTTCATCTAACTGAGCTGTCAGGAGATTCACCCGCCTCAGTCATTGCTGGGCTGGTTCTACCATTTGTCTTACTGATAACACTAAGAAAGCACGCCATGTTTGTCAGTCCAGGCATTCACAATACTTAGTTACCAAGAATTCATGAAAACAAGCACTGATGGAATCCTTTTCCTGCCCCACCCAATCTCTTCTGTTGTCATAAAACACATTCAGATTGCCTTTCCTCAGGACAGTCGCCTCCTCCTCATCCAGACTCTTCCTTTCCAAAAAATACCCTAACAGCTTCTAGAGTAGGTCTTTGTACCTAGCTCTTGTTTTAAAAGAGTTGCAGCTGGTGAGCAGTACCAGGCTCAACAAGCACTGAAAGCATCACAAGACAATGCCAAACCAAGAACCTCAGGTGTCTTGCCCTGAATGGCACTCTGCCCTTAAAAGGCTTTAGTGGAAACATGCCCAGCGGAAAGAAAAGTTCTGCAGAACATTGCTTCTAAAGGAAGTCCCATGTAAAGGTAAACATGGCCTAGTAAATTCTCCCCATCTCATTAGCTTGGGCTCTGTCCTGGAACAGATGGCAAGGAGACAAGGTGAAAGCAGCAGCTTCTAGTCTGGAGAGCAGACAGAAGCACAAGCCAGGGCTGCCTCCAAGGAGTTTGGGAATCACCGCTGGGCAACGGGTTAAATCCCTTCTTACCTTTCTACCATAGAGACACTGATAGAAGATGACTCCCACTGACCAGACATCAACTTTATTTGAAATCTTTGGAGGTTCTTTCCCAACCACAAAACATTCTGGTGGCAAATACCTGGTTGGAAGGAAGTGACAACAGATCATTAGTAGCATCTCCAAATACATTGGGTCATTTAACGTAGGGGGCGGGGGAAAAAAAAAGAAAGAAAGAAATGAGCTTCTGCAGTCAGACATTAGTCTGGGAGTCAAAGGACCCAACTCTAGTTCCTTCATTCCCATTTATCTTTGGGCCAAGGTCACCACTGTGCATCACTTCCCTGAAACAGTGATCTCGCAGGACTCTCCAGACTTCCATGGTCTAAGCTGGTCAGTCACATGGTCTAAGCACAGTCAACTTCTTTTCACCAGAGCACATAAAATAATCCCATTTGCTTTTATCTTTAAAACTGGCATTTGTTGTTGAAAGGCCTTGGCCAGCAGTTCTGCAATGGAAACACTCAGCCAGCAGTGAGGCAGTGACAACACTTGGCATTGAGGATGAAATACTGCTGAAAATGTCTTTCATAAGACACTTGAATGTGAAGCTGTGACTATCGATAGTGCTGGGAGATTTACATCTTTTGCAAGATTTAACTTTATAGATTTTCACCACATGACACTGGAATACTCTCCATCTCCCTGATCCATCGGTATTTCCATAGTACTCTCCACCTCCTCACCTAAACTGAGGTTAGGTAGCACCATTACGCACTGTGAAATAGCTGCCAAGCTCCACTCCAAAGTTGGCTATTTCAGCAGTGTGCAGCATATGCAGTTTTTCACCAGGCTCTTTGGATAAGAGATGGTTTTCATATGTGTAAACATTAATCCACTAGGAAGCAAAAAGCTGCCATCCTCAAAAGGAGCTGTATGCGACAACCGAACGAGCAGTTTCTAGGTCTTAAACCTCCAGTGTCTCAAGCGGTCACAGACGACGGCAGCATATACAGAGCTGACATGGATCAAAAGCTCTTTGTAAACTATTTTTGATCTCTAACTTGCAAGTGCTCCAGGCGACACTTACCAGTAAGTACCAGCCCCCTGCGATGTCAGTTCCATGCCATCAACAGAGTTGTAGCTGTCATCATCCATGATTTTGGAAAGTCCAAAATCTGTGATTTTTATCTCTCCACATGCAGTACCATTGACTAGAAGAATATTACCTAAAGGGAGGAAGAAACAGCCTCTTAGGCTACACATCTAGCTGGAAAAAGAAGCAACAAAATTGCATTGAACTCTGACACCCTGTACAAGACGACAAGCAACCTGCAAAATGCCGTGAGCTGAAGCAGCCTGGGGTGATGTTTTAACACTCGATACAGAAATTTTCAGAGAGAACTCGGTTGCCAGCAAGTGCTAGAACTTATCAGCCCATCCTTGAATAACTCTGTGACCCAGCATTAGTTGGAGCCTTCAGATTATGAGCCCTACTCTCCAAATTAGCTTGATGCCTATGCTGTTTTGCCCCCTCCCAAAGGGGACTGATCCTGTTCAAAGGGCAGGTCAAAAAGGAAGACAAAGGAGAGAAGCGCACACACGCACAGAGTTATGACTCATTCTGCCCAGATGTCCTGACTTGCCTTGGCCTCTCAAAAACCAGAATCTCTCTCCTTCCTAGCACAAGGCTCTCCAGTGGCCTCCTAAGTTCAAAAAGGAGGGTTACTGCTTCAGGAAAAGGCTTTTATGAATCCGTCAAGGATCAAGCAGTCAGATCAATCACAGTCCAAAGCCTACAATAAAGCAGCAGAATTGTGCACGACGGCAGTGGATGAATCGCTATTTCAGATAGCTGTAGGCAGAGCTCTGCAGCACGCCCAGACAACATCAGCACATCAGTTGGGGGGGGGGGGGGGGGGGGGGAAAAAAAATAGTTTTTTTTTGGGGGGGGGGGGAGGGGAAAGGGTAACAAAAACTAGTGCAACAGCACCACCTCCTGTACAGATTCCTCATGCTGATGCAATAAACCACATCACATACCAGTTACACAATGCTGATGAAGTGCCACCAGTACAGGGAGACAAACCAGAGATAGCTGTCTGATGAGGCAGCTGAATTTGGCTGCCTTGCTTTTTTCTTAATGCAGTAAATACCCATCACCCTAAAAGGGAGAACACTTCCATTTTTGCCCTTGTGACTCTCTCCAAAGGTAGAAGAAAAGAGAACGCCGTGACAACGCTAGGAAAGGCCTGGTAAGCGTTACTGAATTCAAAGGCAGACCTGAACAAATACACTTTGACTGCAGTTCACAAAGCTGAGGACTGATAGTGCGATATGAAATCCAACACTTCCCGGGTTAGCTTCTGCCACCAAGTTCTTGAGCAGATGATGATTACAGAAAGAATAAGCCAGAAGAATGGAAACATGAAATACTAGTAATTATGGGAACTTCTATGAAGCACTAACAGAAGCTCCCAACAACAGCAGAAAACAAGCAGGACACTGAGAAACCACACACAGACAGTGGTGGTTCAAGAGCTCCTTCTAAATAAGCAGGCTGCTTTTTCTGGAATGTTATTTCCTTGCTTTATGTTGCAACTCTGCGAAACAGTATCTGTTTCACAGCACGTTCTAGGCATTTCAGCTCTTTCTTGTTGCAAGTTAATCTTCCCAGCCAAGCCCATCTCCTTTTTGCCATCTGACCAAAGTAAACTTCCTTTACTTGTAACCCCTTACCTCTAGTCACCAGCTGAAACACGTCAGTTAGCAGCACAACATACCTGGTTTAAGGTCATAGTGTATGATGGGAGGTTTGATTTCATTTAAGTATTTTAAAGCATTCACAATCTGCATGATAATGGATCGCGCCTCTTTCTCCGACATTAACTTGTGCTGTTTAAGGTAGAAGTCCAGATCATTTCCCTCACAGTATTCTAACACTGTACAAAACCTAAAGGCAAAACAGAAATTGTAATTAAAACACCCAGAACTTTATTGCTGCTTCTTTGCAAGTCTCCTCCATTTCGTCAATATATTAAATTAAAAGTTCTCCAGCCTATTAAGCCCTTTCTACAAATAGGATACTGGGAGAACGGTCCTCAATATTCAATAGCGCAATGGTCGGAGGTTCCCGATTTAGCGCTAGGATCAGAAGTAGACAGCTAAAATAGCTGAAGCACGTGCCCAAGCTAACTAAAAAGCAGGATTTACTAGTAGGGCATCACAACTGACCTAATAGGGCACATCACTTTGTGAATTAGCATCTCTACGAAACCAAGTTATGTACAAAGTCTGAAATATCTTTGCAGTATAGTCTACAGCACGGGTTACGGACGTTCCCCAGACTCTGCTCTGGGGAAGCTTTATTAGACCAAATACCTCGTAGCCAACAGGTCAAACTGAGTCAAAGCACACAGCAAGGTAACTTACGAGTCAGTATCCAGCGAAAAGTAGTCATATAGCTTAACTATTCGAGGATGATCCAGTTCTTTGTGAATTCTGTACTCTCTACACGCATGTCTGAAAATAGGAAAGTCTGGGCATTAGTCATACAAGTAATTTAATTCTAAGTTCTGTGGATAAAGCACTCGGACATAGCTCTCAGCAGTCCAAGTTCAATCACAGGCCCATGCACGTTATTTAGACAGCTTAGGAACAGGCAAGCAAAGGAGGAACTGCTCAGAACAACCCTTGAGAACCAAGGAATTTGAGCACATCTCAAATGTTGGCAGTACTAGAAAATAACTAATCCTGATTAATAGTACTGGTAACCAAAGTAGAACAACCTCATAACAAGTTGTTAAGCAATCCAAGATAGCTGACTACAAAAAAACAGCAAGTTCTAGAAAAATTTCAGGATGCTCAACAGTCCAACTTCCAAGCTTCAATTCCAGCTTAGCTTTTGCCAGTGACTTTTTGGGGAAGCTGGGGAAGTAAGACCACAGCTTTGTCTTTGAAGCTCCGTTGAGAAGGTCTACAGAAGGTCTGGCTGCCATTCTGCAGTGCTTATCTAATCCACGGCATTAAGAAACAAGTGTTGCCAACACCAAAAGGCTTCCTGCACCTCCCTTCTAGGCCATGACATACATAGTCCTTTCACAGCTGATTAGGAATATAAGTATTCTAGGAAACAAAGGAAGGGGAAGGCTTTCGGAAAGCACAATGCAGTTGTGCACCCGGAAGAAGATGGGCACGAGCACTCGTTTCCTACACGAACAGAGTTTCGATGTCTTGAAAAGGAGAAGCCACTTGAACGCTTTCTTCCTAGAGCACTGCTGCTGCTGTAAAACCCTGTGCCACAGCACTTGCACAAAGGTGCGTGTGTGTACACACGTTTCGGACACCGCTAAACTGACCATAACTTTTGCAAGTTCCTGGGACTGAGAATGGCTTTCCAAATGCGGTAAAACACAAAAAAATGGCAGCCTGTTCATACACATCGGATAACCAAACACAGCAGCAGAGCTTGGAAACACGGCCCTCTGCTTTACAGCCTTACTTACTTGTGATAGTTTTCTTTCTTCTCATCTCTCCAGTTCTTATTTAACTGGTGTATTTTCACAGCTACATATCTCTGTTCTGTTAAATCAAAGGCCTGCAGAGAGAAGAGCTGAAATTCAGTAGGAATCAAAACTTCAAGTTAATATTGCAAAAGCAGACAAGCTCCAGCAAACCAGTGTCCCCACCCAGGAAATCAGCATTACAGCACACCGAGTGAAGAGCAAACCGACATTTTGATGTAATTGGTTTCACTAATGAAACCAAGCAACTCTGAAGACAATTGAATATTCTACGCTTGGATCTGACCTTCCCAATGGGATCTAACTAACGTTGCACTTACTGTGATATTTAACCACAGCTACAATGAGATCAAAAAGGTTGTATTATCAAAATATCGTCAGGTAATCACACTAGGAAAGATGCTGCCATTATTCCCCTCAAACTACCTAACTCGTTTTCTACTTTCAGTTAAAAAACAAAACAAAACATGCAACAGATTTTTAATGCTTTATTTCACACTGGTAGCTCAGTTCTCCATCTTAGAGCAAAATGTTGCAGCTTGTTTAAAAGCTGGAAAATACAATGGCTGAACTGTATAATTCTTGTGCTATGTTTTTTTCTCCCAGTCTTTTGCTATTTAGGCTGCCTTTAAAGAGCGGACCACTAGAAAAGTGCTCACGGAGAAGCACCTTTCTTTACCTTGTCTGAGACAGCAAAACCCAATAGTTTACTGGACACAAGCAAGACCCTACGGTAATCAGAAAAGAATAATTGTTTTGCAAAGGCTGTATTCTTACCCCTAGCACTTGGGGTAAGAATTGGGCCACTTGGGCCAACAGATTGGCCGAGACTCTGGAGAGGAGGGTTAGGCATTTCTTTGTTTTAATAACATTATTACAACTCTCAAAGGCGGACAGGTAAGGAGCATTCATATCCTCTCGCTTTTAACTCTGGAGCCTAGGCTCTCTATATAAGCAGCAGAGCCTCCAAAGAATAATTCAAAGTACATGCACGAGGGTCACTCCCTCCTTTCACTACCTGAGCAGGTCTAGCCTCCCCATTCAGATACCTAATGTTACACTGAATCAAATTGCCATGAAGCTTCTAACATTAGCTTTGGCATAGTTATTTTAATTCTAGCTGAATTCAATGGGAATTAGAAACTAGTGGGGGCAGATGGAGACTATTTAGAACTGGAGAGGCTTGAAGCGTAGTAGTCAAATTGAAAGCACAACCACAGTATCACAGGTCTTGGCCATGTAAAAGTGCTGACATACAAGTAAATCTCAGTACCAAGAAAATCCAAGGACTACACACACACACACACACCCAGTCTGCTACTCCAGTGTGTAAAAGGGAAACACAAAAGAATAGCTTTCTACTCCCAGGAAATGAAGGCTTTGCTATGTTGCTATTGGAGCTGTTTCCTATTTTGTTTACAAGCAGTGTTCAGACTTGACATGCTATACTCAGTAAAACTTAGCCACTTTAGTTTATGTGTAGCTCTTAACAAATAAATGCTTTATTTCTCTGTCCTGGTACAACTTGCAGACCTAGTGCAGTATTTTCTTAAAATATATATTTGTAGGAAATACGACCTGTGAGGACAAAAGCAGAACCTGAAAATCTCAAGCCTGCTGTCTAATAAAAGCCAGATGTAACATGTGTTTCTCCCTCCCTTCCTCCCTCCACAACCACATGCACCATTGAGAAAACAAGTGTAAGATTTTGCTTGCTGCAATATTTCATTGCAGATTCAGATCACACCACAGGCTGGTGCTTCAAATTTACCTTATATACTTCACTGAAGCCGCCTCTACCCAGAAGATGTAGCAACAAATATCTATCATTTAGCGTTGGATGGTCTTTAAATCTGGGAGAGAAAGATAGTTTAAAAACCATTGACGGTGACAATGCAATCTAGTAACAGCTATTACGCAGCTTAGAAACAACATTTTTATATTACGAGTGAAAATTTTAAAATGGCTGTAATGATTTGATCATCTGCCAGATTTGACACTATTTGAATCGCATTGCGCTGATAAAAGACCACATAATGATATGGATGTATTTGGAAACCTTTGTCTCACAACAGCTTCCAGTTAACCCTCCTTGCCAATCAAGGGACATGTTCAGGTAGAACACCAATTAAAAAAAGGAGTATTTCCTATTAGGAGGTTTTTATCCATGACTCCCATGTGCTTACTGTGAATTATCTTCATTGTGTATCCTTTTCAATTCCCTGATGTGTAGATTTCTAACCCTTTCTAGTCGTTCCAACTCTGCCTGGATCTCTGCTTCTTCCTGCACAAGGTAAAAAACAAAAAGAAAACACGATACCATTTAAGATAATGCATTTAACATTTCTGCCTGATTTATGGAACCACAAATGGAATTCCACTTGTGAAGAAGTCGCTGGTAAATAACCTTTTCGGGAGATTAAGTTGCTTATGAACATCTCCTTCAAGAGCTGGGTGGAAGGTGAGAAGAACAACAACGTTAACATTAAAGAAAAGGAGATTCCAAGTACCATCTTCCATCTCAAACTCTTACAGAGCATTACTCTGGAAACTATCACAGCACAAACTGTACAATAAACTTCCAACACGTCATATGTTCTCCACCTAAGAAATTTAAAAGCCACCTAAACTAAAATGGAAGCAAGTTAGAGCTGGAAACTTTTGTCATAAGAGACATCAGTTAAACGTACAGCACACTTCAGTATACAACCATAAGGTGAGTAGAGACTCATTCACACCCAAAGTAACAAAAGAGCTGATGCCAAGCACATAAACAGTCTAGAGATAAGAAGCAGGAATATCATAAAACATCCCTGAGTTTGAGTGGCAAACAGGTCATATCAAGAACAGCAGACTGCATTAGTGTAAGTTTAATGGCCTACTTAGTAGGCTGTTTGGATTCTTGCCCCTCTCTACCTCTTCAACACTGACAGCTACTACAGCATCCTGTGACCAGGGAAGATTTCCCCCTAGGACCCTTGTAGTTTAACTGAAGTCCTTCTTTGCACTTTAGAAAAGGAAGGACTGATGAATCATGAACTTTGTGAAAGAGTTTAACTGCTGCTCGCTTGGCAAAAGAGGTTTTTTCTGGAGCATAGAGATGTTATTGTTCTTAAAAAGAACATCTTTGTTCCAGACAGCATCAGGTCTAGAAATAAAATTAGGAAGTACAAGTGCTGAGAGCCTCTGCCTCACACAGGAATACATTACGCTCAGCAACTTTGTCTCTGTCGTATACAGCAGCTCTGGCCCTGCACCTCCTCTGTTAAGGGTCCCACAGCTGTTTTTTGCAGGAACTCAGCCTCTGCTGGGACAAGGGAATGAGGACAGCCCTGAGAAGTAAGGAACAGGGACGTTGTGATGTCACATGGAGCTGGGGCAGCGTCCACAGAGGATGGAGAACGTGAAAGAACACAACCGGGTCTTTGTTTGAGGTAAGCAGGAAAGCAGGGCAGTGTGTAACTGTGCCACATGAACATTTCAATACCCTGTTTGTAGAGTGGCAAGTTGTAGCACCCTCAAATAAGATAGGAGAATTCACACCACTGCGGACAGGGTTGCAAACCTCAATGAAAATGTGCGCCTTAAGCGGTATTATTTGCTATATATGACTCAAGGGACAGAGTTACCCATTTATCTTGTGACTCCACTCCTTCCCTTCTCAACTCGTTCTATTTTTAGGCACAAAGAATGAGCCAGTTTCCAAAACTGGAGAAGGACAAGCACAGGCTTCAGACAATGCCACAATCCCAGAACATTACTTCATTTTCCATAAAGGTCAGTTTCTAAATGGATTCCTCTGTTCCAGGGTGGCATACTATGGGCCAACAATAAATGGACCTGCAATTAATACACTCTAGCAATGCAGAAGCCGTAAAGTATGCCTTTAGCACACTCCTGCCCATATCACATATCTTTGCTCACAGGTCAATAAAACACAATTGGCAAAGGGCCAACGGATTCCATGTGTGCATTAACTTTCCCTTGCCATGGCAAATAACAAGGGGTGCAGTGGCACTGATGAAGCCTTGCACTCAACTTGTGTGTCAAGGATGCAGGAAAAAAGGCACGTTGAGCTCAGACACCATCAGAGAAAAGGCGGCAGTCTCTAGAAGCGCGTTTGCACCCCTCCTCTTCGTTCCAGACGCAGAAAGAAAGTTCATGTTATTCTTTGGCTTTAGCAAGGATCACAGCTAACCAGGAAACAGCAAAAGACATCTATTTTGTTGGTAACTCATCTGCTGAAGTGTCCTGGAAGTTTTATTTATGTTATTGCAGTCACTTAAAAGGAAACCAACAGCTTATCTAAATATAACTTCGCTTGCAGGTGCAGCTCCTGCTGAGGCCAATGTTTTTGGAAACAAAAGTATTTTACAACTAGCTAAATACTATTAGCTTCCAAAAGCCCAACAGATTTTTTGGACTGTTACTAGCAAAGCTGGTTACTTGCCATTGCAAAGAAACGAGAAAGTCATTCGATGCCTGCACTTTTTGTTGTGTTCCCATAATTTTCTTCCCTTTTTTAATTTTAGGATGGGACCTGGCATTTTAATTTTTGCTATGTTTCAAACCGTTACGAGAATCAAGTTTCTGTGCCAGAAAGGCATTCAGGTGTCCACACTTCTCTCAGTAGGAGTCGAGCCAATTGGTCTGTTCCTTCACGTTCCCCCGCACTAGACGCGTACAGGGCCCAGGGTTGGCCCTAGTGACGTAGTAAGATGGGTCAAAACAGTGAAACTCTTTACATGTAAACATAACCGTAAGAACAGACTCTATTTAGTGAAGCAAAGCGCCTCTTTACTCAACACCACTGCCTTGGAAAACAAGATTAAGAAACCCTAGCTACCCCTTTCAACTAATAAAAACCTCCTACTTATCAAATGAATGGCAACAGCCTCTACAAAGAGATGATATTGTACATAGAACACTGAATCAAAAAACCTATCTAAAAGCCTTTTCTGCAGTTAGTTCTTACCTTTTTAAGATGACCTAGTCGGAGTTTGAAGATTTCTTCCTGTTCGTGATATTCTGCTAACGTTAACCTGCATGCAAGAGAGAGATCCAACACGTTAAGTTTCAATGCATGGGATATAACAAACAATTTGCAATATACACACCACCTACATGTACACTTAATAATCCGTGTCATTTCCATAGGAGAATGTTTACTACACAGAGTACTTCATCCCTTGGCAGGAAGCTTTTAGGTAAACTCTAGAAGCTATCAATTAAATGAAGGTGACCAAAAACTCAAACCTCAAAACAATAGCTGCACACATCAAATTCAAACCCAAGTCCCTAATAACACCTGTATAACACACTGACTAGCTTCTAACAAAGAAAGGCAAAACAAGCTAAATATGGAACGCTGAACCATAAGTATTCCACATCTTGTTCTTCAGCTTAAGCTTGGCTTTATTGTTTGATTTTCACATTTTTCTTTGTAATAACAAGTATTCAAGCAACGTGTTCACTCCAGCACTAGCAGTGCACAGTGGCACTACAGCGCCCCTACAAACAGGGCACTAAACTGTGATTCAGAAATTCTGTTCCAGGCTTTAAGTGGTTTCCAGAGAAACCCTGGGCAATTTACTTCACCTTTCCACATCTTTGACCCTATGTGCGAGAGGCAATGGGATGAGGGAAATAATCCCCATGTTACTGATGGTAAATGATGTGCAAAGTTTCCATCCTAGATAGCTGGTCAAGAGACACTCACAGTTTCATAGTGTTTTCAGTGTTTTTAGAGCCAAAGAGAGGCATATACGACAAAGCAAAGAACAGTCTTAAAACTTAAATACTGACAGATCCCACCACTAATGAAACAAAGACACGCCGAGATCTTTAAAGTTGGAAAGCAAACCACTATACTGATTTTCTGACTGCCATTAGCAAAGAGTTCGTTAAAGACATCTTGCGCTTTAACATAAAATTACGTAGCTCTCGTCAAATGCAGTTGCTTACTTCGTAAACAAGACACTCGTGACAGCATGTAAGTGTCTTCTGTGAACCTAAAGTGAGATGAAATCATTTCCCTAGAGGATTTCTATCGCAGGGGTTACATTCCACATAGTATTTAGTGCAGAAGTTAGCGTATGGGGCCTTGATAGCACTAATAAAGCATCTAGTTTCAAGAGGGGACAGAGTCCTATGTCTGCGTAGGGCTGCGGGACCCTGGCTCAGTGTACAGTAAATGAAGAAGAGGTTGCATTCAGACAGGTGATTAAACGTTCATCTTGAAGTGCCCCTACTTCTCTCCACTGCTAATAATGCACAACAATTTGAAACAACTATTTGAAACAACTGCTTTCGCAGTTGTTAGTTGATAAATTTAACACAAAACTCACATCCCACGTTCCCTTTGAAGGAACCTCTACCATAAGAAACTGCTTATTACAAATTGAAAATACATACAAAAACCACCCAAGTGCCAGAAATGTTTAGGTAATGACTCATTTGATAGAAAAGGGTGCCATTTTACAAGAAAAACGCGATGACTTGAATTTTAATCAGATTCAGCTAATCTAAAAGGCCACGGAATGCACTGAATGGGAACAAACCTTCACAGAATTTTACACCTTTGGTTGGTATTTCCGTATAAGAAATAATGGGACAACTGAATAAGCCAGCAACAAGCTTTCTGCATGACCTTGCGCACGAGAGAAATACAGGGCTAAACATCAACAATCTATTCATTAAACAAGAGATGGAATGAGTACCACTGGGCTAACATTGCCCAAAACAGCTGCATGTTTGCCGTTAGCATTACAAAAATCAAGGATGCTGAAGACAAACATTGTCCGGTTTAACCTAAGCGTGCTTGAAATACACTACTTCTGGTGCAGCTGAGGGCTAACGTCACCCAAGCTACCCTAACAAACCTCAGAAAGCCCCAGCAGGTTAATCTTCTCGAATGAAACCGTCTTGTTCTCATTCACAGGGTAGTGCCATTTTCAGGAGAGTACTGTCGGGGAGGGTATGCTTAAGTTTGCATCATGGGTCCTTCCTCTCCTTTTTAGGCACAGAACAGCCATACTAAGTTGAACTAAAGTGAAACTGAGGGATTTAGCTGTCTACTCATTCGAATGAGACGTTTCCATTCGACATGCCTAAAAAAAGAGCATGTGTAAGAACTCCACAAAACACCCTCCCTCCAAAATCAGAAAGGTTTTGCATCTGAAGCAAATGCATTTATGGGCTAACTAATGATTGAGCAAGTATTCATTTAGCATACTGCTTCAGCTGACTTGCAAGAACAAGGTTTTCATAAGCTAAAACACTGCACACGAGCCACATCCACGCACCGGCGAGCAGTTTTTATACAGAATGCCACAAGAAGCTCTTCTAAACCACAAAGACAAAACCCCGAAATATAACAGCAAAGAATGATAAAGCAGCAGGAGTTACAGAGGAAAAAGACCAGGTAGCACAAAAAGGCTTACTAGCAAACCCAGGCAAAGTCAACAAACAGCAGCAAGGCAGGCTGGCCCTGCCAGCAAGGCAATATAGGCAGAGGCCCGCTGGATACCACAGGTATGTACTGCGATTGCCAGCCACATCAAGGCCTGTGCAGCCATGTCTACAGCATAAGCCACGCTGCAGCCGCGTCATCTTTCTGCTGGGTAGAAACACCCCTACAGAAATGGGATGCATCAGAGAACAGGCTCAGAGCTTGGACTTCTCCATTCAGGAGCATCTTATCTTCCAAATCGGTATCAATACACCTTTCAGGGGAAAGGGAAGCCTGTAGCGTTCTAAAACTGTTCTAGTGAAACAAAACTTTCCCCTCTAAGTGCATCAAGACTTTCAGAGTATCAGTAACTCCAAAAAGAGGCTACAAAGGAAAGGAAAAAAAGCTTCAACCATCTTTCAGTTTCCCTTGAGAGGGATATCTGGAAAGGACTGCTTTGGAGATACAGTACAATACTTAATGCACTGTCTTTTATAAAAAGAGCATCTTCTTCCCCAGTACATCCAGAACGGTGAGGTTTGAAAAGTCCCACCAGAAAGTACGTGTATTGTACTATACAGAAATACTAAAATTAAGTGGGAAGTTGCAACAGTTCAGAAGACACCGCTTTTCAAATTTGATGCGGCCGGAACACTGGAAGAGTTATTGCACTCAAAAAAAGGTCAAGCTCATACAAAGTTTGGACTCAACAACAATCCTTATTTTACTCCAATGAAAACTATTTAGAACTGCAGCCAGATGTTTCTGAATGCCAGGCTAATTCCACAATATTCATTTGTGCATGGAGCAAAGCCTAGAGGCAAGGGCAAGATTCCATTTCCCAGCAGATATTTTGTCCTCTAATCAAAGCATAAAGCTTTGCAATGCACCAAGACAGCCACCCAACGTACGTTTCATTTTCTGCTCCATTGGTCTTGTTCTTGCGCTGCTTCTGCTCATTGCTTGCTGGAGGAGTCTGTCCCATTGCAGGTGGCTTCCGCTTTGCTAACATTTTTCGTTGTCTTTCTATTTCTTCCCGCTGGGAATTTATCCTTTCCTGCTGCCTGGAAAGGAGAGGGCAGAAAAGACGTGAAGCAGAGAACCAATGAGATGTACCCAGTTGTCTTCAGAATCTGCTCTTAACAAATTAAAACAAAGAATTTCAAATCAGCTGTACTTGTAAGATTAGTAACTACTTATTTTTGTATAGAAAAGGGGAGTGCGCCAAACATTACGACCAAGATTTTTTTCTAAAAAAAGTTTTATATAAAAGGTGATTCTTTTCCTGGCCCACAGAAACCTTTCAGTACGTGAAAGGTTTTATTCATGCAGAGGATATCCCAAAAACAAGGAGCTTCTAACTTCAAGGAAAACCCAGGCAGCCATGGTAAGTCACTAACTTTCCACAAGCTCTTTCCTAGAAGGCTCTGTTCTAAATCGGAGCTGTTCCTGTTAAAATCATTCTTGAAGTCTGGCACTGTCTGAGAAAGGATCCTTCTACTTCAGAGGTACAGTTAAACTATCCTTAGTTCTCCGAAATGTAACTAATATCATTCCAAATTTCACTAAGAAAACGGTCTCTTCTCCGAGAAAGAATATTTTAAAACTGCCTAGTTATTTGATAGTGATAAAAGCACTCTTGACATTTTTAATGTAAATGATTTGAGAATTTACATACTCAATTCACTTTTTAAAAAAGGGGACTGGGATTGCAGCTAAAGATTCCAGAAGCGTTTTTTCCACCTCCGACAGCACAAACTAAGGAAAAATTATAAAATCCTTAATCTGTACTTAACAAGAGCTGCATCTCCCTATCAAGCTACAGGGAAGTGACCTGATTGTAAGGGATCATACATAGCTCAAGCACGCTATTAATTTGCAAAGTCCTACTTTAAAGGTCTAGGCCAGGTGGGAATTCACTGGAAATTTCCATTAACACCCTGCACAAAAGGGTCTCTGATCTTCATTTCCAGGTATCTGCAGCCCCTTTGATCACTGCTGCCAGGAGGCAAAAAAAAAGTTGTGTGTTTTTTTTTCTCCCCCCCTTTTAAGCTTCTCTACTTAGTATCTACTCAAAATAAATAAATAAAGAGCTAAGTACCTTCTTTGACTAACATATGCAGTTATGCAAATCTAATTGATTGATTCAAGATACGTGCGAGAATGCGGTCCATCTCTCCGCCCTAGGCACTGCACAGCCAGCTAGGTGCACTAAGAATGCCCAACAAGGCAGCCTACTCCTTTCCAATCCAGAGGCCAACTCACGACAATTTGATTCCTGTTTCAAGTCTCTGGAGTTCTAAATAGAACCACGTTTCTCACTTCGAAACTAAGAGAGTCCTCATTGCTATAAATCGCTACTAGTGGAGTTCCTAACTGATCCTTTCATGCATCCGTCACGCCATTCTCTTGTTTTGAGATGCAAGGCACCACACACAGCTGCTTAGTTTTTCCTTCTCTGCCTCTGAAGGTAAAGATAACTGTGTTTGTCCTCACTTGATGAGGTTCTGAAAAGCATAGCCATCCGTCCACTGCTCAGTGAAAGATGCCCCATGCCGCACTGTAGTGAAGTGACCTAGCCTCAATCGGTCCTGCATGCTCTTATCTCTGCATGCCATCTTCTCCTGTTTTGACTGGAAAAAACAAAAAAACAAAAACAAAAAAACAAAACAGATGTTAAAATACAAGCCATGAATTAGCAGTTAAGAGCTATGCCATGTTTTAAATTACTACCAACTCTTATCACTATTCACTGTTCTAGTACTGCTGATCTGAAACCCATTTGAAACCATCATTGATCACATCATTGATGGTGTTTCACGCTGGCCTGACAGATGTTCATTTGAAAGCTCCTTTCCTGTGACATTTCAGTCTCACCTTTCCTTCCCCATTACAGTTTGCGAAGCTTACCCATTCTATCATTACTTGAACTCAATCTAGCAGTCGGCTTAAAGCTATCCGTATCAATAGTTTAGCTAGACTCCAGATGGGGCTCTGATCAGGCCTTTATTCACTCACACAGGAAATGAGGGAAGAAAACGCACCTCGAATCACTGTTAAGACTAAGATACAGTGATCAGCCAGCTCAGTCCTAGACAAGCACCACTCCCAGAAGCGATACAATCTCAATTAGCTCACCAAATCGCATAAAAAGTGGTGGTGGTATCTCACACTGAAATTTCCTTTCACTTACAGGAAATACTCTGAGGCCTAACAGGAGAGCAGTAAAGCTTCAGTCAGTCAGGATCAAAGATGAACCAGCAAAGCTCCTCACTAGAGCTACACACCACCTGTCTGAACCTCAGATCTACATAATACTTGGCCCAAAGTTACAAATCCTCACAGAAAGGGGAGCCCCACTCAGCCGAGAACAATCAGCTCTGTGACAAAAGCAAGTCAAACAGACAGTGTGTACTGGCCAGCGCCCTGGCATTTTTGCCCATCCAGTGCCCACAAACAATAGATGTAATTGGCCAACAGGTGAAAGAGCAATCAAAAACCCACATTGTTTAATCATCAGGAAATCTTTCAACACTGAAGTGGGCTGGAAGCTGGTAAACAGCACCATAGAACTTTCCCAGCATCTTAAACGTGTTGTTCCGAGAGGGCTAAACAAAGCAACAATCTCTACTTTGCAATTCAAAAGGAGGAAAGGTTTAAATCACTTGCCCATGCCACAGAGCACGTCTGGCAATTTCACTGCACAATGGGATCCTGCTCTTGTATTGCCAGAGCTGGACAACATTGCTTTTCAGGTAAATGAATTTCCCAATCAAGTAATCCTGTTGCATTTAGAGCTCAGACTATTTCATTTCAGCAAAAGAGATCGCTCTGGGACTGTCAAAACTAACCAACCCAAAACATTCTGAACTCTTTCAGTAGTAGGGTACGTTCCTATTTGCACAGGAGTAATTCACGATAAAATTCCAGTGGTCTTTTATCACTAAAGCAATAGGAGCAAGTTTTCGCTGCTCAAAAGAGGAGAGGAAGAAGTAACTGTGACTGCAGAGATGTGGAAAGCCTCTTGCTTACCTTTTCTATTAGAAGCTTCTTGCTCATCGTTACACATCTGTTCAACCGATCTTTGTACTTCTCCAGCATCTTTTGCTGTTCATCAATCTGCCGTCTCAAATCACAGTTGGCCTAAAGCGAACAGAAAGCATGAGTTTTTGACTTTAAGCCACAAGAGAGCTAAACCAAGCATCAGGCAGGAAGAAGTTTCTCCAGCTAGCTATAGGCACCGGGATAAAAAAGCAAACCGGCAGGGTAAGACAAAACACTACGTTCCTCTTATGAAAACTTCCAAGCCAAGCTCTTCAATCTTTAGCCCGTTCAAATCCTAATACCCCTCCAGAACAAAGTGCTACCATCCCATGTTACAGATGAGGAACTGAGGTGCAAAGAAGCTAAGCCCATGGACAAGGATTTCTGTAACAGTTTTGACCTTGCCACAGCTACCAAGTCCCAAAGTAGCTTAATAACCCCTGGACTATCCTCCCTCCTCAGCCTCAACTAGCTGGCAGAGGAAAGGGGCATGGAGACTCCCTTGGCACTTTCAGTTAAATTCTTGTTTGAGGTATTGTCCATCAGCCCTGCTACAGACACTGCTCCTGGTAACAGGTGCTGTTTTTAAGATCACCACAGCATACAGCAGCATTGAACGTGCAACCTTTCTCATTAATGAAAGGTTACATTTAACCATCTCCCTCCAATCAGGGGTTTGGCTTCTGATTAAATGGTGGGTAGTAAAATCTGTTTCCTGCTTCAAGGATTTCCCCCCCTCCCCCCCCGAGCCACATGTTCCTTCACATATGTCTCTACAAAGATATTTTAGGTCTTGGATGCTGAGACAAGGCACACACAAGAATGTGCACGCACATGCACACACACACAGCCCTTGCTCTGCTTCTTTCAGCATGTTTTCTAATCCTTTCCAACACCTCTCAGAACCCAGACAATTCTCTTTCAAGTAAGAGTTGTCTGGATTTGTTTTTACCTTGTGAGTGTCTATTCTACAAATGTTATGGTATAGAAAACCCTGCTCTGCAGCCTAGTTGGCACATACATTCTAGAGAGTTTTAAATAGCACATTTTTGAAGAGCTGTCCCATTTTAAATACTTACTCTTAATAAGTCATCTATCCTCCCCTCCTTCTTCTCCAAGTCAGAGTTCTTACTGTTTTCTAGTGCAGATATTTTTTCCATTGTGAGGTCGGACTGTAGAGGGGGAGAAAAAAAAAAAAAAAAAAAAGAAATCACCATAAACCACATGTAAGGAAAACAGCTGATATCTCAGATAGTCACCGTGTAACATCAGTCTGCAGCCCTCTCTGCTCTGAGTAGTTAGATCTAAGGAGGACCCAATCCCCTGCATCCTAGAAGTCTGGGGAAGGACGTGCTCCTTTCTTCATTTACTTATTGCATGATGTGCTTCTCTAGCACATCTGATGTTCAGTCAGCTAGCACAAAGGCCTAAAAGTTTTCTATGGGGAATACAAACCGTTAACACATAACATACTGCAACATGCCTGTAAAGCCAAAATTTGCAGGATGGGAGGGGAGTTCTCTGATGGTCTCTGACACGCAATATCCTTTCCTGCAGTGCAAAATAGCTTGTGCAAAAAAGGCTTAGGGAAGAAACCCAAATGCCTGTCCTTCAGTTGCGGTATCAAATTTATGAGACCTTCAAGGTGCATAGACAACCACCTGCTAGGCAAAAGACACTAGCTACAGGCTTTGAGGAGGTCTTGCCAGAAGATGGAGGTTCTCATTTTAGAATACGTAACATATTAGCAGCAAGAATACTAGCAGAAGCCTTTGTTTCTGACTATCTGATGTATTAGTGCCCACTAGGCAGAACAGCAGTCTTACAGTTCTGGAGCGAAACTTATCTGAACAATATTACAGAGTGCACACATTTCAAATACCTTCACCCAATGCAATGAGGGTTATACCTGGGAACAACACACATGTATGCTATCGTCTCTAGAAATAAGACTATTTCAAACTCAGGATTCTAATCAATGATGGGGCGCGAGGGGAAGCGGTCAGGGTGCACGTGAATATAACATATGAAAAACAAGTCATCACAAGGGAATCTCACTCCATGGCTGCATGTACAGATTTCGTATGGCTAGCAAGCAACTATCCTTGTTCTGAGAAGAGATCCTGGTTCTGAGCAGAGACTTACCTGTAGAGTTGTTATTTAACAGTTCTCCAAATCTCAGGCTTGCCTGGAAGCTAACACCATTAAGTAAGAGACAAAGTTGGCGGACTGAACTCTGTTGCTTCTCTACGTACCCCCCCCCCAATACGGGAAAGACCAAAAAGAATCCCTGTCAGCACTGCACATCAAGCACGATGAGCCTAAATTCCAAAAGACAAAGAGGAAGGTCACCTCACTTGTGCCTTCATTTGGTTTACACCTCCTGGCAACCTACAGAGGAAGCACTTGTGACAAAAACTCTTGTCACTGAGGGCAACAAAAAGGCTGTCTGTTGAAAATCTAGGCTGCATGCACTCAGCCAAGCAGCAGGAGGATTCTTTAGTAAGTGACTGTTACGTCCATTTGTCAAATGCACAAGCATGCTTGCACTCTGCGAGATGAAGTCACGCTGCAGGATGTGTGATTTTACATTCACAGAGATTTCATCACAACTCACCTTGCCTCAGAACATTTAGAGGGCCCCAGCACTGTCTGAAAATGCTAAGGACATCATACTCGTGCTGACTTGCTTTTGGCATTGTCAAAAGCGAGTCAAGCTGGGAATCACTGAAGATATTTCTTTTCCCCTATGAACTCCAACTAGGTTGGAAAGAGAGAAAAGAGAATGTATACATGTCCTCATCGCACAGGCAAACATCTACTTGGAGTCTTCATTCTTATGCAAGCGTCTAGTCCTCTGGAGCATACTAAGAGGCTGAGCATTGGCCGAAAGCACACTTTGAAAGCACGTCACCCTTTTCAAGGAAGATAGACTCCGTCGGCACGTTACGAGCAGGAAAGAATAAACCATCTTGCTCATCCCAACTGGGATCACTGTTAAACAGTGGTGTCGGGACAGCAGAGAGAGAAATCTGAAAGATATTCCTGGCAGGTTCTTGAGTCATGGCACCCTTCTAGCACAAGACTTCTCCACACGCTAGCAAGAAAGAGAAATCTTCTTCAGACAGACAGACCAGGGCTTGAACAATACAGACAACAGATGTGACCCTAGCGACATGACAAGACCCAGATTTCAGCTAGTAAGTTGCCCCAGAGGTACAATTGCTCTTCTTCATGGGCAAAGAACTTGTACCACCTGCTGGGGAAATGGAGAATGAACTTCCCACAACAGCACAATCATCTCTGATACAGACTGATGCGAGAAAAATGACTAACAAAACTGACAATTTAAAAAGCACTCAAGGGAAGGATCAGTCACAGAGAAAACAGGGATGGGGGGGGAATCAAAAGACTAAAAGGAAGCTTGGAGAAGACATGAGCAAGACACGTTGCAAATGAAGCTGAATGCCTTTATGAACAACAGATGAAGATGACACAGCTAAAAGTAAATCTTGCCATCCTCAAAAAAAAAAAAACACACAAGATGATTCATAACAGATTAAAGTGCACCAAAAAGATAGTAATACAGTCAAAAGAGCTACTCCTCTTCTTGACCGCAGCTCAGACTATGGATATTTGTAGTATAAGCAGTGTGAATGCAGCCATGACCCAGCACTTGAAAGGAAACCTGAGTGGTCATTATAACCACTTCCATTTATGTCTTCCACTACAAGGAAGGGGAAAAACATTCAGGATACAACACAAGTGCAATGGACAGAGCTATCCAAGGTATTCTTCTCCTGAAGATATTCTCATGCAGTCAAAGAACTGCCCACGCTACTGAAACAGAAACACCTCAGTAACAGATTAAGCAAACTCCACTAGCAGCAACAGAAAAGTATCCTTTACAGGATAAGGAACAAAGTTCAGAGCCATTCGCTTCAACCAGTAGAGTTACAGATCGAGTTCCAACTACTGTTCTTTTCACCGGAAACATTATGTCTACTACAAACAGTATCCTCTGGTGTGGAAGACGAGCCACATTGAGCTAATATATCTCACGTTCAAGAGACATCTTGTCCAGTGAGCTATACCTGTGACTGTTTGTGCTGGATGGAAATCTGTTTTTGGGAAGTGCAGGAATGCTCAGTGTTCCCTGATCCCGTAGAAGATGGGCTGCCTTGCTGGGCCTGCAAAAGAAAGTTAATGTATTGTTATATGCTCCTTGACGCGACTGTGAGCGCCCGTGCAGATACACTTATCTTACACGGGAGGTGCAGTCTGGACTTCGTACCATACTTTTACACTAAGATTTAAGAATGCTTTAGAGATTTAGTTCATTAAAACAAAAGAGTTTCTTTCGAGAAGTCTGGCCCAACCTGCTAGAAGACAAAGATTAAAAAAAACCCTAATATAATTCACCTCAGCTGAGATTAAGATAAGCCAAAAACAAACAGTTCTCAAAGCAAGACTGTACTCTATTCATCCGCTTTTTTGCTTCTATCACTTTAGCCTCTCAGATGCTATTATTTTGATCTACACAACATTTGGACTAGTCAACTTAAACCTCATACCGTTTTATTACACAGGCAAAGCCTGGGACCTAGAACTCTTCACAAAGAGGATGAACTTACCATAACATAGTAGACTTGGTCATCAATAAACCAGGCTGCACTTGAACCACTGTCATTGAGCTGAAAAGCTTCAAATGTCCCATCCCTTAGCTAGAAACATCCCCTGGGATTCAAATCTTTTCAGAGCTGCTCACCGAGACAAAAGTAAAACAGAGGCCACCTCCCCTCTGTGCCAGCTGCTCATTCTCTAGCCGCTGCTTCGCCAGCATCACCGACATCAGCGTTGGCAGAGCAGAGTGTTCCTCCTGCGGTTCCTTTGCTGTGGTGCCGTCTACCCCATACAGCGGCTGCTCCACTCGCCGCTGTAACACAGTCAAAAAAAATACAATGAACTTTTTCCTAAGCGATTCTCTGGCTCTGCCAAAACTGTTGTCAGCGAAGCAGCAGCCCAGGAATGGGCAGGCAGCATGGTGAGGATCTGATAACTCTAACAGGACTCCTGGAGTGATCATTCCAATGGAAGACATCAAAAAGTAGATGAAGTTAACAACAGTAAGAAAAAAAGTAACACACGAATACACAGGACAGAACTCCTTGCTAGTTAACACATGCCTTTCCTCTGCAACTACATGTATTTTGGAGCCAGTGGGGCAAAACAAGTCAGATGCAAAAATCTTAGAACACGGTGACTCTGATCAATGCATTCAAAGTTAAAATATTTGACCTTTTTTAAGGACTCATTTTAAAACAGTCCATGTCACAATAGGCTTGGTTACTTGGTGAAGTAAATTGAGTCACAGTTGTTCAACGGCAGCAGCCTAGCCATGCCTAGGACCCAGTCATTACGGCAACCTTATTTTTGCCATAAAAGCAGGGACCAGTCTCCTCCAAGATAACTACTAATGCTTTCCCCAAATCTTTAAGAGATGCATAGCATCTGAAATGGCCAGTTACTTTCTTGTGCTGTAAACATCATTTTCCAACTGTGACGCAGGAACTGTGTTCAATAAGAGCAAGAATAACCTGAGCTGCACTGACTACAACACTCAGAACTCCTTTGTCCTTACTTCAAAACCCAGCCCATCACTCCCCGAACTTTGTCAGTCTGGGTAATACTCATCTAACCGCTCCCAAGCTATAACTGTGGGCTGAGCATACGCCACATAGCAAGTAAATAGTCAAGTCAGGGTTCAGTTTTTCTTAAAACCTAAATTGTGGCCTGAAGTATATTTTCCGGCTAACACTAGAAGTGTCAAGAGCGTATTTTCTTTCCCAACAGAACGCTTGTATACGACAGTGACCTTGCGAGAGTCTGAAGGCTGACCTGTAGTTCTCTTCTACTCAAGAGAGAAGCAAAGCAATTCAGATCAGTCAAGAGATTTGCAGACAAGAATTAATATCCTGAAGACATTACAATTCCCCCGCAACTTTCTGACTGCAGAAAGTTTTCAGTACAGTACAGCTTGGTTCATAGGTTTGGAGAAGGTCTGTTTCCTTGTTAAAGGCGTTTTAACACTCTGCTCTCTTCCTAGACCATACTAATCCCTATAATGGATAAGAGACTCAAATATTTAGCTCCAGTTTTTACTGTTTCCTCTCCCTTATTTTTGGGCTTATCTCAAACTGTTGATATTCGGTTCGTAAGAAGAGGACAGATCTTGCAAATGCACATAGTTTCCATTATGAATATGCAAATAGTAAAAGTTGAGCTGCAAGAGTAAAGGACAGAAAGAAGATAAGAAAAAAAGAACACCTGCCTAAGGAAAGAGACAAACCGACCCAGCTGAAACTGGCTGTAACATCAGTCTTGAGACATGTTCTGCCCAAACTTTTACCTACTCAATTTACAGAATTGCAAAAGAAGCAAACCAAGGAGAAAAATCAGCTGTGGTGCCATTATAAACGCCTGAAGGATATGCCACCTACTGGAATAAAGAACTGTCCCTAACACATAACAACAGAGATACTATTTCTTTCATTAACTTCTTTTTAAGGAGGAATATTAGTGAATTAATGTAAGGCAGAGGAAGGGCTATTCAATTAACCAGACATATTTTTAACTTTTACAAACATCAAAACCATCTAGAAGCATATCTGAAGCTCTCCCTTAAAGCACTGTAAAGCTTCCAAAATCTAGTTAACATATACTGGATTCTGAGCAGAGCATTCCAGGTTGGGATTTAGTTCAGTACACATTAAGGAACTGTGCAAAGGTCTCTTCAGAATAATGTAACCAGTAAAGACTTTGCATTTGGTTTTGGAATACTAACCTTTCCCATAATGCTCTACACTCCTGTGACACTCAACAAATGCTGACAAATACTAAAGAGAGGCCCAGGCGATGTTCAAAACTAGAGATCAAACACTAGAGACTTCAAACATTGCTTAACTAGTTTAAAGAAACTTCTTTAACTGCTTCGTGCTGAAACGACTTAAACACACAGATTATTCGTTCACATTCAGATCTTGCAGAAATGCTCAGATAGCAAAATGGAAAAAAAAAAATAGCAGCCAACGGGCACGTATACACGTCTCTTTGCAGACTTCTGCAAATAGTCCTCACAAGTCACATACACGTAGGCACGACGTAAAAGATCTTCCCAATACAATTATGGTACGCGTGCTCTTCAGTATTCCCAAAGGGCCCAATCAAGATCAGTTGTACTAGTGTTATACAACCATACAGTATAGTCCAATTCTGTGGAAAAACTCAAGAGCTACTATGGAGTACAGGATAATCAAACAGCAATTATATTAGCTCCAACTTTTATTAGGAACAGTAACCTATCTGTAAACACAACAAAAAATGTTAATATGAGTCTCTGAGCTTAAAGCATGCAAGACCCTTTATTACTGGACTAACAACTATTACCGGGTCCTAGATGTCTGGCTTTGCTGCCACAACCCTGAATCAGATCAAAACAAATTCACATATATAAAAATAAAAATCAGGGATTGAATAGGGAACAAGAAGTCACATCACTCTGAGAACCTTCATTCTTTTTCAGAACCTTTTATTACCTGTCTGAAGCAGTCACCAGTCCAATCAATGACAACATGCCACAAGCAGCGTCCCCAGAAAGACTACTTACTGGTAAGGGATTGGATAAGGAATGCTGTGGTGAAGATCTAGCAACAGGCGGCACACTTCTGCCAGGACTGGTGCCTGGGCCACTTCCCCCAGCAAACTGGCCAAAAGAAAAATATGTGATCATCAGCAACTCCACAGAGATACTATATTTAAGCAAATTTAATAAAGACAGAAGCAACACATTAATCTTAAAAAGGAAGTCTTACAGGCCCTAGGGACCCATTTAAACAATGGGAAGACAACGCAAGAGGGAAAAATTAAAATTTCAATGCACTATTTTCAAAAACAAGCACAGATGAGCAACAGTGATCCTCAGAACAGCAAAAGTACGTACTTCAGATAGTTAAATGTACTTAATGCAAACGTGAATGTTTTTCGTTTTAAGACCAAAAGATATAAATCCACATGCTTCGAGACAAACCAGTCACTAACAATACGGAATTAAGAAGCCCATCCGCTATGAGTGGGTATATCTAATTGCATGCCAAAGACTGAGAAGAGCTGAACACCTTCCATTGAAGCATCGGTACCAGTCACTGGCACAAAAAAGACTTCAGAGATTACGCAATAAAAAGAATACTGATTTTTTTGTTTTGGGGTCTGCATTCCCAGTGTGGTGTCAGCCTCTTACAGCAAACTACCTCTACAGAGGCAATTCTGTAAACAACTTCCTACTCAAGTTGGCAGGACTTTACAAGTACATTCCTTTGCAGCACTGGACCTTTATCAAAAAAGGTCTGCACAAAAAGAGGTTCAGTATCCTCAGAGATCCAGATTCCAATGGAAATCCACCTCAAACCTACTTTTATGTGGGTGCTCTTTTACAAACATGGTTTATCAACTGTTCAAAGAAAAGTTAATTTAGAAATCAACTTCCAAAAATCCCAGATTCTCTACCTAACCAAATTCAGACATACAGGTTAAAGCAGTCAATTGCTGACTTGAAGCTATTATTTAACATGACAGATAAACAACGTAAGTTACATTAGACTTCCCTCTACAGAAAGATTTGGTGTATGTGGATTCAAACAGATTTTTCAGAAAACGTAAAGGTGCTTACCTCAAAGTAATCACTAATTTTATGTCCTCTAGGAGTGCCTTTTCCTAAAAAGGAAAAACAAGAAGGAAAATAAAATACTATATTTTCTAGTGCAGAAGTTATGTCATTCTGAAAAACTACTTCTATACTTTGATACTCCTTTCCGCTTATAAAGGCGCAACACCTACTGTAACACCTACTGTAACAGAAGCTTCTGCACAACAGAAAAATGCCTCAGAGACCTCTTGTGCTGCAGTTTGGTGGCATTACAGATGAGAGTTTAAATAACTCAGTTCCAATCAAACAGCATTTGTAATTGCTAAAGTACTTAAAAAAAAAAAAAAATCTAGTGTCACAGAACACTGCATAGGTTCACCAAAATTTCCTTCAAGGTAAAGACAAAGCAAAGGGTACTTTTACTCCTTTGTCTTCAGGTAAATTACTGCATGTTAGATCTCTCACAAGCCTTCCTATAACAGTTAGAGAGATAATTAGCAGTGGCTTAATACCAGCTCATTAGAACTTAGCCTTTTTCCCTTATTATATTATTGTTGTAGAAGCAGTCCTGTCAACACAATCCTTATTACTTTCTTATTGAAGAATAGAAGAAATAGAAACCTGTTCTTATGCCCATTTCTTAGAGAACTTGAACTTGGAATAAAAGACTATGGGTTTTTCTCAGTACTTTAAGACAGCACTGCCTGCTTTATGTTTGAGTACAGTTTGTTCTCTATTTGCAATGGTGAGAACCTACTCTAACAAGGAAGACATAAGTCTCAAAAAGCAAGAAAGAGACAGTACAGCCTGTATTCTGAAGTCTGGCTGCTGTATATCTAGCAACACGGGACCAAATCAACACTTCAGAGAGGCCACGGTAAGCCTTTGGGCAGTTTGTCCCATGAAAACGCGATAGTTTGTGCAAATAAGCTGGAGACAAGTGTTCTCCTGCCAGTGAGAATAACAAGGCTCCCAGAAGAGAGCTACAGCATCGTGGAGCAGTTTATAACAAGCTGCCTGACACACCTTTGAGAAGAGCCATTAGTTTCCTAGGACACTGACTGTGCAAAACGCGTACAAATTACCAACCGTTCAGAAATCCTGCAGCAGGGTCAGGAGAATGGATTACCTTGACTGGTTTCATATGCATCTGCTTTCCTTTTTCTATTCCGCTGGTCATTCTGTTTTTTCTCAGGAGTCTGTTAAACAATACTTCAAAATTAACATTTCTGCATTTATTCCCAGATTTAAAGAAAATACCAAAACACAATGATCTACTCCATATCCCCTGTGGCTGTTTCATTTCTCTGGTGCGTTTGTTTCTACTGTTGGTACTTAAAGAAATAATAGCTCTCAAACAGTGCCTACTTTCTGCAGCGCATGTATCTGAAGGAAGAGAACAAGGTTAGGAATGAGATTTTTTTTTTTTTTCCTATTTCAACAGCTGTAAGCCACCCTCTATACCCCAGTTACCTCACACAGTTAGGAGAACAAGTGCAAATACTTGTAAAATTTGCATAGACTGTTTCAGGGTGGTCACAGCACTGGTACAAAAGCAGTAAGGTGGCTGAGAACAGGCCCAAATGACAAGAGAACTTCTTCATGTTTGAGCAGAGACATCCAAATTTACAGTTCACTAGCTACTCTCAGTACCAGCACAATTCATCTTGCCTGCAGCTCTGCTCTTTCCTAAAGCCCTTTGCAGATGGCTACAAGAACTACCTTGTCCGCTGGTCCACGTCTGCAACCTTACACAAAGAAAGGGCAGTGATTTTCAGAAAAGATGGCAGCCAGAAGGAAGCCGCCACAGACCGAGTAATTCAGTTGGACTTCAGTCTGCTTTTCATCTAAAAAAAAAAAAAAAAAATCAAGCACTGGCTGCATCTGCTGCTTCTGTGAGCAACCAGAGATCTGAGGGGCAGCTTACCGAACAGCGATATATTTATGCACGTGCACAATACAAAGCACAGGCAGGAAGCTGACGTCTCCAAAAGCAGCAGGCCTATCTGTCTGTACAAGGCTAGCAAGTCTAGACACATGAGCGCGCAGTGGGCTCTGGCATGGCACTTTCCCTGTCACCAGGGTCACTTATGTGGCGGCCTAGCCTGCTGCAAACATTAGGAAGCACTGCATCAGAAACAGCTCACTGAGGTTGCTGGAAGGAAGGAAAGATATTGTCATTTCCATCACCAACATCACTTCTAAAACTTCTAAAACATCACTTTTATCCCAAAGGGCCCCAATAGTTTCCAAGCTGAACGCTTTACAATCACTTCACTCACCACTAAACTGTAGCCCAGGGGCAGGAAGAAAACCACAACGTGCAAAACACAACACTAAAGGAGGGAAAGCCACGGCCAGAAAGTCTGTGGTAAACCTAAGCTTCATGCTCTTTGGAAACCCAAGTCCAAAGTACCCTGTTCAAAGACTTCTGCCAAAGGACTTACACACAGTAAGCACAGAAATCCATCTACCTCTTTTAATAGGATAAAAAGGATAAAGCTGCCACAGCCAGAATCTAAACCTGGCTGCGTCCCCAGGGGATGCTGGATGCCTACAGCCCCGTGTTACCAGTCGAGCAGTCACTGATACTACTCTGGTAAAAGGATGGAGGAGGATGTTAAAACAAAGGCAGCTACTGTGTCTGCAAAGGACTTTCTAGAACGGAGAGATTGACAACTTCATAACTATCTGCAGACTGACCGGAACCAGCTCCTGTATGCACCAAAGTCAATGAAATAGTCTTCCCAACGCTTACTAAAAAACAACTCTCAAACAGCATTGGAGTGACAGTTAACACCACCGGCTCCATTATGGCCTCAATGGAATTGCATTTTAATGAGATTCAGTTTAAGTTGCTGTTCTGTTCACATACTTGCACAACAAAAGTTATACACAAGATCACCTACCTGCCACAGACTGAAAAGTAAGGAATGTAGATTTAATTATGTCAGTTGGATTAATCTAAATCACCTTACAGAAGATGATCAAGAATTAATTAAGGCTTAATACTCAGTCTTCCACTACTAGCAATGCTTACTTGCACAGAGCTCAAAATAGTGTGTTCTTGAAGAAGTAAATTTCACCAAGACACCTCATATCAGTCCTGCCTCGCATTACAGGGAAATACGATCCAAGACTTACCTGATAACGAGTGGGAAGTTCTTTAAATTCATAAGAAAAAGCATCTAAGTTGGAGATGCTGCTTTATTAACAGAGCATTTTAAAGCAAAATGTAACTCTGCAATTCATTTTGCTGCTTTAGGAAGCGTTTTCAAATAGTTAATCCTAAAGCTGTGAGATTAAACCAGGACAAAGCATCAACTTTCACCTCCCCACACTTCCACAAAGCAGTTCATAGGAGTGCTCGGCTTTGTACAGATTCTGCACATTCACATATTTGATAGGTAAGGCAAACTTTTCCATTAAGGCTCTCTGGCTTTTTATCTGGACCAATCTGTACCCAAAACCAGAAAATAAATCACAGTGCAGCAGAAGACATTTTCAGAAGCTGAGCTTTACGAATGCTGTGTTTTTGGGCTTGGGTAATATCCAATATACTGCTACAGCAGGAAGCTTCAGGAAGGACAGTCTTGCAGCGTGCTCTGAAGGCTGTAGGATTTGGATGAACACCGGATTCTTCCACTAGTCCCTTTCATGCCTGGACTAAAGAGCACTATCACCCACTCTCACAGAATTCCTTCTATACTTTGTGAGTCCAATCATGTCTAACTTGAACCCAATTACAATTAAGGATCTGTGCCTGCTTACCTCCAATTCTTTATCACTCAGAGAGCCCACGCTGCACAAGCTCTGGTTGGAAGACTCGCTATTTAATGGACCCTAGTGGAAAAAAAGCAAAGACTGTTAGAAACAATTTCTGTACAAGGCTGATTTGTCCTATATAACATTGCATCTCTGGGCTAACTACACTGCTCTATCATGCAGATACAGCAGCAGCATGGGTCAAATGCTTAGACACACAATGGGGGACTAAAAAAAACTTCGGAACTCATTTGGAGCAAGACAAACTGGACTACCAGTTGGACAGTCTTTTGTCAGTACACTGATCCAGACTTTGCAGTGATATTTCTTCATCAACTTAGATCCTAACTGCTGTATTTAACCATATACCCCCACAGCAAAAGCAACATTCATAAAGATTTAAGACAGATAGCTTGAGAAAGAAAACTTATGATTTGGTGAGTACCAGTTCAAAGTTCAGCTCTTCAGGCAACCATCTGCCTGACCTGGGGCTAAGAATTCAGAGGCATCTTCCATCTGGCAAGGCAGCTATTACTGCTACCAGGTGCTGGCAGTACCACTGATTTTTTTTTTTTTTAAAGCATTTTTTTAGCACAAGAAAAATGAACAAGTGCCAGCTGTTATGGGTGACAGCTTTACTACCGTTAACACAAGACAGCATCTCTCTTGCTAGGCTATCTTATGCGCCCATGACTGACCTACCACTATAGCAGTTGCTCCTACCAAGTTCAAGTGCAGAATGAAGAGGCTGGAACAGATTTAAGGAACAGTATCTGGTTACCTTGAAGAGACTAGCTGCATCTCTGCAAGCTCTACTAGGTACACACCTGCATTTTTAAGCATCAAAGTATTTTTATAAATTATTTTCTAAAATCTGTATCAAATCTGCTTTTAAAAGGAAAGAAGAGTGAATCATGCAAAGTCACTGTTTTAGCCTAGTGATCTGACACAAAATATCCTCCCACAGACCTAACTTAAGAAATCTAGACTAATTTGACAAAGATATAAAAAACACGATTCACGAGTATTGATGGAATGTATTAACAGGAAGAATGACGTGATAAAGCTACTTCTCCATTAATAACTTGCAAGCATCTTTTCCCAAAGATTCATTCTATTTTGGCATTCTTATTTTTGCAGTAACCACTTCCCACCCATCAATCTCTCTTCAAGGCTAAGTCACTTCTCATTGTACACTTGAATGGATGACTTATGGGTGGGCAGGTGATGAACAAGCCTCAACACCACAGAAAAAGCCCACAGTTGATTACTTTTGAGGGCAGTAGTTCTCCCTTCCCCATTTAAGGCAAACACCACCACCAAATTAAACTCATGACACAACCTAGCTAATGCTGCCCGTCACCCCAATTCAAGCAACCGTCCACACAATGTAAAGCTTTAGCTCATACCATCTGTATTACACTTTTAGTGCTAACTACCAAATTTGCTTCTCCTAAGCAGAGGCTTAATTATTTCAGAAAAAAAAAAAAAATACAACACATGAACAGCTCAAGAAGCTACACATTCAAGATTCCCTTTTAAAAATACATTACCTAAAAATCACAGATGTTATTCTTTGGGCCATACCCCTTACCCTTTCAACTCATCACAGAAATGGCTCAAGGATCAGAATGGCATTTTATCCTCTCCTCAGCAATGTAACTGCTTAAAATCTAGTTGCCTTAAAAAAAATAAAAATGATGTGAAGTTTGACAAATCTTACAGGCCCAACTTTTTTTTATTTCAGAGATTTATTGCTTGGCCAACAGTACTTAACACAGCGAAAGTGTCAACGCTAACTTTAACTACAGCCACATGAAGGCCTCATTGATAATAAAAGTAGCAGATCTTATGGCAAGTGGTGACAGAAGGTTAAGCTTTTCACCCATGCAAAAAGCTTGCTTATAAACTGCACAAATGCTATCCTCTAAAATCCTTCACTTCCTCTCATGAACTCAAACCTCAGCAGCACGCTCAAGACATTGACCTCCTGTGCAAGTGTGAAAGCTTTCTTAGCTGCAGGAGCATCTCAACAACTGATCTCGTCCAGATAGGTCGGGGCTCTGACATAATGAAGATGAAAGTGAAAGTTGTTTCCACATTTGCTGCAAACTCATTGCCTCCATTTTGCACATGGATAGCAAAGGACAGGAACAGCTGCTCCCAAAATGCCACATTTGCACTTTTCGGGAACACTACAGTTAAAAGGATGTTACAATGGCTTAATAAAGGCCTGCATTTCACCCAATTGACCTGCATTCCATGACAGTCTGGAGAAGCAAGCTGGGTGAGGCCACCTATAGTTAAAAAAGCTCCTCAGATTTTTCAGAAATACAGCTTTATCCTTTACAATGCTAAAAATCCATTCAATTTGGATTAGAATGTAAAGTTCTAGAAAAACGCACAATGTGAATTCCACAACCTTGTTCTTATTGTACCACGACTGCCTGTACCAACTATTCCGCACTGGAAACTTACAGCTATAGAGAAGTTTGAGGCAAATCCATTTTTTGCATCGACAAAAGAGCAATTCAACTCTGATCACAGATTCTTGAAGAGTAAAAATACCGTTTTCACTTTAGTTTAAAGCTTCCTCCAAAAAATAAAACTAATGAAATCATTAACTTGAGCTCAAGGCAGTAGTAGAAAGGGTGAGAAAGAATTAACAGCTTGTGGAATCAGAGAGAGAAGAACAGGTTGTCAGTTGTCTACAAATCTAGCAAGTTCACTGTAGATAAACACACGTGCCATGACATTGCGAACAAATGCAAGATTAATTCTTTGTAGACCAGTTTTGATCAGTTTCCACTGAGGTGAGTTTTCCTTTCCCTTGACTATCCTCAAGAGGACCTCGAATGTAAACTGAAGTATTACACAGGCAAGGAGCTGAAGCACCTTGTTCCTGTCAAACAAAGTTAGCAAAGGAGTATCGTTTTGAGGTATTCCTGCTATCCAAGTGCAAATTGTTCATTAGAGCATGCTGTACTAGAAGCAATAAAGATGCGGTATAGAGGAGGATTAAGGAACATGGTCCAGTCCTCAACAGCACCTCTTCTCATGTAGCTACGCAACAGAAAGAGCAGGAAGTTTTCCTGCTCATCCAGGTAGGTGTTTACAGTTTCACACACAACCTTGTAGATCAACTGCTTATAGCAACAGGTTTAGATAAAAGGTATGTGAGAAACTATACAACTGAACGTCCCCTTCTCAACTGCGTGTATGTACGTGCATGCGCACATAAAAAACGGTCTAATTTGTCCTTTATCATTCTTGACCATGTATTTTTAACTCAGCAACTGACATAAGGGTAAACGTTCGGCACTTACTTAATTTAGCATACCATGTTAAGCGGTCATAACATAAGAGGAATAAACCTGAATTTTGAAAAAGTAAGTAATGGCAAGGAATACCAGCCTTAGAATATTACTTGGGAAGTAGTAGTAGGAGATAGTAATCATGCAATTAACTCATGCTCCAAGAAGGGCTTATCAATTTTGCTCCTGAAGAAGTCATCTGCGCTGGCATCTAGCTTTGCCAGCATAGACTACTTCAGGATAGTACTGCGCTACTCTGATACCACTTCCAATCCACTCATCCAGTATACCCTGTCAAGAAAAATGGTGATGGGGCTCAGCAAAAAGTTTGAAATATGTGGGTCATCTGAAACAAGCCAAGAGTTTCTACAGCGTTTACCAAATGAAAGCATAAGAAGAGCACACACTTCCACCTCCATAAGGAATTTCTTTCCAAGATAAGCTGGCATGTTCTTTTTCCATGTGATTCATCTGATCAACTGCTGCTTCCAAGTCTGTGATCTACCTATGCACAACAAAACCTCCACACTGAAAGTGGATGAAAGAGTGGCAGGTACTTTTAAGGCCCCAACTCAAAGGCAAGAATTTAAAGTCGCGTCTACTCACACAAACCGGATAGTCATTGCTCTTTGCAAGAGCCACGGGAAGGGCCACAAACAAGGCATACTGGCTAAAATTTCAATAAAAACAGTTCAGCCTGATAATAACTGCCATCGGATCTTCTGTAACATTAGTCGGACTCAGTCCTCCCTTACCTATCACCTGCTTGAGTCCATCTACTGCCTCGCATGACATGTGCATCTCCCCAACCTCTTCAAGCTGCCAAAAGAGATCCTCCAAGCTGGTTCTCAACTCCTTCCTGTTGTGCAGTCTCCTCCTAATCAGTACACGCAGTTCTTCACTACTGAGACCACAATCAACTAGCCAAAAACTTAGATGCTATAGTCTGTCTAACGGAAAGTGGTGAGACTATTCCCCGTATTGAAAGAGAACTCTAGGAATTCAAGCCGCCTAGCTAGAGTCACAAAGGTGGATTTTTCAAGAACATGCTTTGCCAAACTCTTACTAACTCAGTAGTGGACACTTACTTCACTACCTCAAGCCAAAGTGACCTGAACTCTTGTGAATTCTGTAGCAAATCAAGAGGTTCAAAGGAAAAAAGTCAATCCTTTAATTCCACTTCAAGTCAGGACTGGCTTCACACAGGCTTACACCAAGGCGAAAGGATATTCCAGTCACACCAGTATATGTGCTACTGTATAAGCGAGTGCTAATTAAGATACTTTTTACTGATTTCAAGCATCTCAAAAATGCAAGAGTTATAGTCTGCTTCTTAACCGGGCTTTTAGAAAGGGTCAGTACTAATCAACGTTATGGCTAATAATACAATCCCAATCTCATTTGCGTTGCAGGTTTGTCTTTTGCCACAATAATTTAACCCACTATCACAAGCTCATAGGTAACTTCCACTATGTCTGATGGGTAAGGAGGTTTGCAACATGACTTACGTGGCTTCCATTTTGCCTCCAGAGCTCTCCTCTCTGGATAAAAAAATAGTATCTTTATTTTACTGATGGCAAACCAGGCAGAAGCGTCATGCAGCTTGCCCTAAACATCAGTTGTCAGATCTCAGTTCTATTTCTACAACTATTTTTGGGCTCTAGTAGCCAGACAACACATTTGAAAGAAATAATGTTGTACAAGGAAGCATTGAAACAATTTTCAAGCATCTGGCATAAAGAAAAGGAGCATCCTGGTGCTTTCTTTGGTAGCAGATAAAATACATTTCTAAGTTTCAGAACTCTTGCTAACTAGTTCTTCCAGTGGCACGTGACATCTGCTAAGGAACACCACTGTGCAGCACCGCTTCCCTCCAAGGAAGGCCTGACCATTGCCATATATTAATCCTTAATTTGACAACTTTGCTGCCAAGAGGCTGATAAATCAGTTCAGTAACTGTATGTTCTACTTATTTATAAAGGCTCTAGAGTGACAGGGGACCTAGAAGGTTAAAAAACAAAGAAATACAAGTTGTTCTTTTTTATGAGACACCCCATTTTTGGGGGCAGATGTCCTGCAACATAAATGACACCTTTCAGGTTATTTTCCTTTCCCTCTTTACGATACCTCATAGAGGGAGCCAGAGAGAGCAGTAACTGCCACCAAGACCAATAATTCTTCAATTCTAGCACAGTCATCTGCTAAAATGGATCTGCAAAATTCTTACAGTCAGACAGAGGTTGCCTCTCTAGAAATACTTCAGCCTTCTTAGTTTAGCTATATAAAGAAACTAGGGTACACAACTTAGTCTGAAGACCTTTTAAAAGCAAACTTGCAGAAGATGCACATGATGCAGTTACGATCCGCCCTCATCAAGCCGAAGGGACGCTGTGCGCAAATGCATAGATTCAACCATCATAACTACCTCTTCCCATTCTTACCCGGTAAGAGTCCCTGGAAATGACATAAATCCTCTGGAGTTAACCAGCCTGCTATCTTAAACTCAGCACCCAGGCAAGAGGCAGGAAGGCAGAAGATGAGAACAGACAAAACTAAATAATGCTGTTATCTAGAGAAACATAAACTGCATTTTGTCTTCTGCACCTACTGACCCAAGGAAGAAATTCGAGATAACTGGTCAGAATAACACCTCAAGTGAATAAACGCTCAGATTTCACCTGAGAACTAAACATAAATGGGAGCTAAATAAGCAAGAACACTAGTTGGTGTCATATAGTCACGTGTTAATTCCAGGATTTGCTTTGTGAATTTGGTAAAGAACGGCACTTGTCCATATGGCAAGGACAGGCATCTAAAGCATCACTGGCGTTTTGAAGCTGTCTAGTGACCTGGATGAACCACATCAGTATAACAGTTGCCTAGAAACATTTATTGCTTGCAAATTTGATTTCTTGTATTAACTTCAAGCTTCTAGAGAAATATATTCTCCAGCCACTAAGTAAGAAAATTCATCACAGACTTGCAACAGAGCTGAGGCATCTGGGATTGCAAATGACCTCGGTCACTGGGTTGCGCCTCCTGCTACCCCAGGAGATGACAGCACACAACTGCTTCCAAAACAGTTCGGGATGCCTGTCTTCTACTGTTGCTTTAACTTTGATGGTTACAAGCTTTCTTCTGGTTTCCAACCTAAAAATTTATTCTTGATCACCTCACCCTTATTTGTTCTTAGAAACATATAAATGTTCTTGCACGTGTGTGTGTGTGTGGGGGGGACAAATGGGCTTTAAATGCTGCAGTTATATTAAGGACGTAAACTAGTACATTAGTTTTTACATAGGCCCAAAATACACCCTGTATTTTTAAACATTAAAGAAACCTTAACACTAAGTGATACACCAAGTCAGCGGAAGGCAGGAAGCTCAGAGTTACAACTGCCTGCTGTATTCACCCAATAGGAGAGCATCTAAGATGACATTTCTTCCTTTTATGCAATAAACAGCAATAGAATACCTTCTATCCCAGAAGGACATGCCAGTCCCAGTCCCACTAGATGGCACTAACTTACTTTATGCAGCTTTCCTTAAACACTTAATTGGAGAGAGCTAAAAATCTTAGTAGAATCACATAAACTGTACCACAGCTTTCCCATTATATTCCCTTTAAGACAATGACCTACCAATGCCAGTGCGGAGCATGACGGACGGAGGCTTGGGGGGGTAGGGAGGGAATTTGAAGCACCAACCTGGGAGGGAATGTAGTATCTGAGATTAATACTGCAACCAAGATTTGCTGCAACATAGTAGAGTCATGCTAATTCATATAAATGATTGGCCGATCTACTGCAAATTAGCAAGTATGCAAGTAAATACATATATGTTCTGTTTGAAATAAGTGTAATGCGCTTTAACAGTTTACTGGCAAATACAAAGTAATACACTTCACTGTATACAACAGGTAAAAATAAAACTCGGTAACACAGGAGCTTTGCTCATAGCGCAGCCTCCAAGAAATGAGGCTTTTCATTTGTATATGCCTTAAGAACAAAAATGAGTTCTCAGCATTCATCTGCACAGAGAAAGAGCACCTGCTCTTTCTACTCCAAACATACATGAATGCATAATTAAGTCTTGCTTTCCTGTGTCTTTGAAAAGTTATTCCTTTAAAAAGGAATAGCTCCTAAAGCTCTTCATGAGCATTGAGTATGTTGGCATTGTTTTAAGGCAGTGATAGCTTCTACGTTTCTAAGTCTTAACTCTTCTAGAAAGTTGTTTGGCTTTACCTATATTGGTAGAGTTAGATATAAAAGTTATGCATGTAGGGGAGAAGAGGCAAAAACAGATGAGAAAGTATATAAAAAGTTGTAGTGTTATAGAAAACATATCTCACAAAACATGCTACATAATGTAGCAGTGTAAGCTTTTACACTAGCAAAACCCCTAAGATTAAAGTAGTCTTCAGAGGAAAAATAAAAATCACACTCTTCAATAACTACAGTAGTTATCCCTTAAACACTTTTAGTGTTAATCATCCTTATTACACTACCTTAGAGCTGAACATTTTTACTTATTCATGCTCCCTTCCAAGACTTAACATTGTCTGAGTCCTGACTGAAGCACAGATCAGAAAGAAAAGCATGAACTGGAAGTAAACCATCTTTCAAGTTCTGACTAATAAACTTCGTAGATGTTGTATTTCCTAAAAGAGAAAATCCAAAGTTTATTCCTAAAATAATTGTAAAGGTGTCTGAAAATTATATAGCGGTGATATGCTCTTTTACCATCTACCCTAACGTTGTCCAATACTCAATGCCTTCATCAAAAGTAAACTGAATTATCACTGACCTAGTTTGAGATGAGTTCTGCCACCATTTCATTGTTCAGAGAGCCTATCAATTAACACTACCAACAACATCTGGAGAACCAACACCTTAATGCCAGCATTTCAAGCAACCACACAATGTTATCATTGAGTGCCTTACTCAAGAAAGGCAGCTACTGAACAGTTACAAAGTTGTACATGAGGACAAAGATGGGATTTTACTAGCAGGTTGCGGATCACAGAAATATGAAAGCTTACCTTCAAATGCATTTTTTTGTGTTCTACGTAACTGAGCACACAAGTTTAGCACGCCGTACCCACATAGAAGAACTGGATGAACAAATTCCTGAACATATTAACCCTGGTTACATGTTATATTGAATACAATAAACTCGAAACTGTATCCAACAAGCAGCCAGATTCAGTTCTCAAATGCATACTTTGAGAAAGGAAGAAACAGAAGAGATTCCTGCTTCCAAAGACAAAGATGTCTTTTTTTTTTTTTGTGTGTACAAGCTACCTTAAGATGAAGCAACTCTTAAGAACTTAATTACATCCCAAAATCTTGTGTATGGCAGAATGTCTGCTCATAGGGATCCCATTTTCATTCCTCTTAAACATACTTGAAGCAAATTAGCAGTCAACACACAACTATCAAAACGAAGCATTCTGCTAGCCAAGCAAAACTACCAATGTAAAAGGGAAAAAAAGGAAGTGCTGTGCAGGATGGATAAGGAGTCATGCCTGTTACCAAAGGTACTTATACTCACCTTAGCAACACCAACTCCAGTGAACCTGGCCTCCAATAGTTCCTGCCTTCGTGGGTCCAGGCTATGCAATTCTTCCATCATTTCTGCTGCTATGGGAGAACAACACTAAGATTATGCAACGCAAGGGAAGGAGAGAGATTTAATATTTTGTGCCACTGATGAGACTCAAAAGCATCTGTTCTGCAGCATAACCATATACTGAGAGTTTTCTTGCAAGAGAAACAAAATTACTATGCAATACTAATAGGACTTTGCCACCATATTACTGTATTTAAACCACAACCCTGCTGGAGAGTTTCATCTTCTGTCTGAATTACCAGCCATTTCAAGATCTCTTAATCCAAGAAACCAATTATGTCACATTCTCCCACTGGATGCTTTATTTAAAGGAAAACATGGGAGCAGTGTGTTATGACTAAAAGCTTCAGAGCTTTTCATCTGTGTTGCATGACTAGGAGAAAAAAGCAACATTCTTCACCAAAAATTTATTTTTGGCCAGTCCCTGAAACACTAGATCTTCTCAAACTCCACATTTCACTGATAACAGCCTTGGTTCCTCCAAGCATGGAAAGGCATTGTAGCAAGAAAATAACACTTGCTTAAACCTCTTACTTTACAGAGTAAAGTACCAGATACCTTTAGTGTAACAGGTACATCTGAATGTACCTGGGCAGCTGGCAATCCAACACAAGGGATGCCATTTTCTGAAGGGTTTAAAAAAAAAAAAATGCATTGTTGCATAGACAGGTTAAAATTCAAATACTGAACTGTGAAAAAAAATGGGACAAATTTCAATGTTCATTATAATTGTGAATCACATCTTCCCAACTGCACCAATCAAGTTCATCATTTCCAGAAATGTCTGTTCCAGTTTCATTTCCGAGACTGAGGTAGAGAAAAGAGATAGAAGATAAAGATTTGCTGTATAAAGAGCATATGCAATGAGGAAAGTTCTTGAAGGGCAGCAAGTGCCCTCTAGAACAAGCAGTATACAATTGTTCCTTTTATTAACTGTCCATTTTGTCCCTGCTGTTTCCTCCAAATGCTGCAGATCTAAGTTACGGCAGGCTAAGTGAATCAGTCCGGGGGCATTTATACATCCTCTCCCAAATCGGTAACAAGCCTTAAAAACTAATGGGCTACCAAATGTGGTTATTAGAGAACCCCATTTCTACTCTTTGCATAAAAACCCTACCAAAGCTAGCAGCCTAGTTTTCAAAACAGGAAATCTGTGCAGTGAGGAAAATGACAGACAAGCCGTGAACGTTCAGATGTTAAAGTAGCCTGAGGCTGCCCACCCCTCCCCCCCAAATAGGGGGCACACGGTGACCATCCAGAAGGGAATCGTACCCCAAAGCAAAGATGCGCCTCTGGGAAGGGGACTGCTACAAGTTCCGGAGCATTTTCCGCCCCCACAGGCCCCATCTGCCTCCCAGGGCCTGGGGAATGCCTGCAGCCTGGGCACTGCTGGAAGCTGACCCCCCCCCTTCCCCCCCCATCCA